TCTGATCCGGGGTGGTAGCATCCGTGAGGGTTCTAGCTATGGGAAGATAGGGAACACCCAAACTAAAATTGGAACAGTATGAAAATATAGAAATAAATGTTTATACTAAAAATACAAGCATTAGGTTTTCAAAGAAAACAAGTTACAAGCAATAAAAAAAAATACCAACGATCCATTTTGTATTCAGTTGTGAAAATAGTTCCCAAGAAAAGTAAATTTCGGCCTTAGAAGACTCATAAGAAGTTGATATGCCTTTAAACAAAAACTAAACTAAACAAACCTTAACTAAATTATTTATATTATTCGGTCTATTGTCCTCATCTTAGTCGCCATGTTTATTACAACGTTTCGGCCTTTCAGCATCTGTCTATATTTCTGAGATGAGGTATTATGTACACTATTTACATTATTCGGACTATTGTCCTCATCTTTATCGCCATATCTATTACAACGTTTCGGCCCTTCAGTATCTGTCTATATTTCTGAGATGAGGTATTATGTACACTATTTACATTATTCGGACTATTGTCCTCATCTTTGTCGCCATATTTATTACAACGTTTCGGCCTTTCAGCATCTGTCTATATTTCTGAGTTGAGGTATTATTTACCCTATTTAATTCATTCGGACTATTGTCCTCATCTTTGTCGCCATATTTATTACAAAGTTTCGGCCTTTTAGTATTTGTCTATATTTCTGAGATGAGGTATTATGTACACTATTTACATTATTCGGACTATTGTCCTCATCTTTGTCGCCATATTTATTACAACATTTCGGCCTTTCAGTATCTGTCTATATTTCTGTGATGAGGTATTATGTACACTATTTACATTATTCGGACTATTGTCCTCATCTTTGTCGCCATATTTATTACAACATTTCGGCCTTTCAGTATCTGTCTATATTTCTGTGATGAGGTATTATGTACACTATTTACATTATTCAGATTATTGTCCTCATCTTTGTCGCCATATTTATTACAACGTTTCGGTTGTTGTACGCTCCGGCCTTCTTCAGGTGGTTGGAATGTCGAACTGAACCCTTTATTTCGCTCACTGTGCTAGACTGTTCTTGTTCCACGTGTCATGTTTAATGGATGTCAGTTATCAGTTATCTCTTGTTAATTAACCTCTGAAAGTTCTCCACTACCTTAGCCGGGTATTGAACTCACACTCTTTGAGTCCTGTCCTCGATCTAACCAACGCCTTTATTCACTGTGACATGTGTACCCCGTTCGGCCAAATGTCCCTTCGGTCAAATGTCCGTTGGCCAAATGTACATCCAGCCAAATATCTCTAGACCAAATGCTCGTCGGCCAAATGTCCGGTCACGTATAGTAGTGATGTTGTAAAATCTCCTCACTGATGAAGAAGAGACTTGAAGTATTAGAAATGTAGTTCACCAGAAGGATGCTGAGGATACAATGGACAGGATATGTGAGTCCCACATTTTTTTTTTTAGAGATAATGGAAACAATAAAGACACTTAAACTTCAAGAATTTTCTAGGGCATGTTATGAGGATAGAGGGCTTGGAAAACTTGATACACACAGGGCAGATTAAAGGCAAGGGGGACAGAGGAAAACAACGCATAATTTACCTAGCGAGCTTGAGTAAATGAATGGCGGAACAAGTTTTAATTGAAATAACAGACAGTATTTATTAAGAGCTACAATGCACAGGAAATTGTGGAGAGGCATGATCGTCAACATCCTGAATGGACAAGACACACATACATAAATACATATATATATATATAATTATGTTGTCATGGAATGTCCCATACTCCCTATCGCCTATGTGGACTGACTATACTAGTCTGTCACCCGATTGCCTGTCTTTCAGTAGTGTATTCTCTTTTACAATAAACCTCTCTTCTTTTCATCTACGCGCTTGTTGCTGTTCCTTCACTCGTGTACTACCACTGTCTGTTTGTTTAAAGACACAACAAATTAATATATCACTGATCTCATATATAAATAGTCGATCAAAAACACGTATGGCTTGACGATTGTGCATAAGGATGAAACACACTATCGCCGCTGGGTATTGACTTCAATGTTCACTAGTATATATATATATATATATATATATATATATATATATATATATATATATATATATATATCTTAATAATAAAGAGAAAGATCAGTAAGATATATAATCCGGTCTTCTTACAAATTATTTTTATTTTTACAAAAGAGTGCTCAATGTAAATCTACAGATCACAAATATTTTACATTGCCTAATTTAAAAATATGGTTCCATCGCTACACAGGAATTGTTACGTTTCAAAAACAGAAACTAAAAAGGTCAAATTGTAGAATTAAATTAAAGTCCCTAGTCCTGTTTCATTTTCAAGCGAATTTTGGAATAACTTATTTTGAAATTTTTAAGCAGATACATTCATAATATTTGTTTCTAAGGATACGAGGAAATTCAATCATTTTGATAAGGGGTGGTACGGTATTCATTTTCACTGACAACTATTGTATCAAAATATGAATTACTTTCGAAAAGAAGTTAAGGTAGGGTAGGGGCGCCTTTTTCAACGAATGATGACTTCCGTTCATCATATGTCGTCTGGTCTTTATCAACAAGTTTTTCGGCATTTTTGTTTCACCATTAAATTTGTAATTGTGAATATAAAGATTTTTTTCTAAAAGGGTTGTTTGTATTGAACTAGAATTTTAAAATATTATTCCTAATTGTAATTACTAATAGACTATACTGCTTTTAAAATAAATAAATTTAATAGAATTACTTAAAGTATTTAAAAATTATTATTAAATATCAAATAAATGTGTGTATTTCATTTATCAGCTTTTTTAAAATTATTAAGGAAAGTCATTGACGATGTCGACAAAGAATTGCTATTTCATTTCTTTGATTAAGTAAATTTTTATTTTTTATAAACCTAGTAATATATAGTTTCTCATGAAAGCACAAAGGACATGGGTCATTTAATGACCTACATATTCAATCTTTTCTTATTAATTTCTATTTCACAGTGTTTTATTGGTTTCTTTTAAGTGCCAGAGATATTTCGATATGGACGTCTGATTTCGGCCTTCATTTATCCTAAAAGAACTTTGATGTTGGTTGAACTGTTTCTTGAACTCATGTCTTGTGCATCCAATGTAGAATTTTACGTTGTCTGGATCCTCAATAGATGTAATATTGAATTGGTACACTAATGATTCAGTGAGGCACTATTATTAAGGGGATAATTATGAAGATTTCTGCCGTATTATTGTCTAAATTTCTTTGGTCTTGTTTAAAGTGTTTATTCAAAATATTAGCATTATGTTTCTTAGTAATTTTTCTACGTTTTCAGTACAACAACTGTAACTTAATTTAAGGGTACTTTATTGAAAATAGTACTGAGTTCACTATCTTTAGGAAAATGTTTAGCGATTAATGCAAGAAATTCTACTAATTTGTCCTTTACCGTTTGCTGGTATGGGGGTGTATACCAAATTATTTTTCTACTTTTTTTTCTATGATTTCCATTTTCAGTTTTTATGTAAGTTAGTTTTGGGCTTTTGTAGCCACTATCTTTTAGAGTATTATATATATATATATATATATATATATATATATATAGTGCCATAGTCACTCACTGCTTCGCTGTATCACTAGCTCTTCATTGTGCTAGACGTCCGATTGCTTCAAGAAGGGACCGAAACCCGACCGATTTGGCATCGGTCAGTGATCCTACCACTAGGCTATCGTCGCACGGCAGAGGGAAAAGGAAATTTTAAGGTTTTCTATACGAAATACACCAGTAGCCTGGAGTGCCCAATTCAGATGAAGAGCAATGCGTTAATAGCAGTAGGAGTCACTGTTTTTAAAAAAAGTGCTCAACCGGATTTCCCGATATATATATATATATATATATATATATATATATATATATATATATATATATAAACATTGCTTATATGAAAGAAAGGAAAAAATTACACTGTTCGTAGCATTTACTTTTAAAAATGTGCTTTATAAAAAGTAAAGCAATTTATTAATATTACTTTTATTAAAAGAAACAAATTGAAATCGCTACAGAAAAGCTTTCATGTTTCAATACTTTGATTGTACTTCTTCAGGCAATGGTAAGTAAATGGTCATTTGATGATTTATCTCTCTCTATCTATCTATCTATCTATCTATCTGTCTATATATATATATATATATATATATAATGTGTGTGTGTGGCCTGGCGATTGCGTCTAGCATTAAACTGCTTGTCGCTTTTAAGTGTTGACTTCAATGTTCACTTTTATATTTATACACGCTCTATCTCTGATATTGAGCACTTTATCCCATAAATATGGCACACCTTAAGAGTATATTTCCTCATTCATATATATATATATATATATATATATATATATATATATATATATATATATATATGTATGTATGTATGTTATGGAACTTACCCATAATAATAATGGACTATTCCTGACATTATAAATACTGCGCCTCTCAAGAGGTATGAGGAGATTGTTAGACAAGGAGAGCATATTGTAAGGACATTGGAATAGTGATACTTGTCGAGACAACATAGTTCACTCTAACCAGATCTGATAGTTATTACTAATACTTTTACTTCTTTGTATTATATTTCTGTTGTAATATATCTTTGTATTCCATACCTGTGTTTGTGTTATTCTTTCATTGGTTCTATCCTTGGACCATCGCCGTGGTACAAGAAACTTGGACCATAACAATATATATATATATATATATATATATATATATATATATATTTCAATAAAGGTGCAATTAATTTGTATTTGTTTTTGTATGAATAATTCATGAATTTGCAAATTAATTGCACCTTTATTGAAATTAAAATAACTGATCCAAGTGCAACTTTTGGATAAGTGCGACATTACAGTAATTATTGAACAATAAAGTTCATGCCACTTTGACAGAAAATTTACCAGTAAAAAAGAATTCACTTATCACCATATTTGTATAAGAACGCACAAT